CCTTGTAGTGGTATGCTTGGGTTTAGTTTAAATTTTATTAACAGGATCTCAAGCAGGTGGTAGTACCCAGCTTCCCTCTCTATTGAAATTAAGATGTTTTTGTGAGTTCACATAGCTCACGATCATATCCTAGTCGGCTCCCGCTATTACATTAGATTTGATAAACCACAAATTTTCGCAAAATAACATGGATTCCTGCCATTGAAATTTAACGCGATAGAATCCGTAAAAGTAGTTTTATAGTATTGCATTGTCAATTCAAATCATCCAGGTAGGGTAGTTTTACGCTACGCAATTTGTAATGCCTTTGACCTTCAAGCCGACCGCTAGATTACACTCTACTAAGCGGTTCTATATTCAAATTAGTATGTTTTTAAGTTTCGTTTCATAGTCTGTGAATGAAAACAAATATATCTATGACATATGCTTTTACTTCGTTCACAGATTTCCGTAACAACCTATCAAAAGTCAACGGCTAGGCATAGGCCTTACTAATAGATTACTCATAAGAGAGATTGCGAGATAGCTGTCACGCCTGATAGGTAGGCTGTAAACCGCAGTTTTTTTTTTAGTTGTTATTAAGGAAGATTGCCCATCTCTTGGTATGTCTCCCTCTATGGTTATATGCACTCGGAAAAATAGACACCGGCAGGGCATTCCACTCCTTAGGTGTGCGCATTATGAAAGATGATTTACTGCTTAGTGCGTATATTCGGAATATTAGCCAAGTGTGGATGGTAACCTGCAGTACGTCTGGTACTCTGATGGGCGAATGGAGATGGTGGTATGAGTTTATGAAGCGCATGGGCACACTCTCCGAAGTACAATCTCTGCAGCTTAGTTTCCACCAGCTTTTTGTCACCGATAAGCCTCTTGGCTCTGCGTTGCACTGATTCGAATGCGGCAACTTGATAATTTGCTGAGCCATCCCAAATGTGACTACAATACTCCATGCATTTTTGGACTTGAGCTTTATATAAAGTTAGAAGTAGTCCAAACGCGTAGTGCCGCTTCACCTTGTTTAAAATACCCAGTTTTTGGCCGCAGTTTGTGCTTTTGACTCAATGTCAGCGCTAAAGTTGAGATTAGCACTCAGCTGTATGCCGAGAAGCTCGAAATGATTAGTAACCTCTACGGGTGTACCTCGGAAAGTAGGAGTCAAACAATCTCAGATTAAACGGCGGAGAACAGACAGGCCTGCATTTTGGCGGCGTTGAAAGTGACCAGATTGTCATCATTTATGCGTAGTAGAGTCATGCTGCAGCTATATAAATAGTATAGTTGTAGCACGAATGCGTCGGCTCGACCGAGGAGGGACCACGCTCTCACAGAAAACCAGTGTAAAATAACAGCTTAAAACTGCTGTGTTTCGTATAGTGAGTGTAGAGAACCGGAGACCCTTTTTTACTGGAAAAGAGGCATTCCATCTTAGTCCTCACGGGTGACAACGCATCTGCATTTTGATTCGCAAACGAGGATATATGTAGTTGTCTATGGGTCACACCAACCACTTACCATCAGGTGGACTGTGTGTTCGTTTGTCACCCTATCCTATAAAAAAAATAGAGAAAAAAATTGGGAGACAAGACTTAAGATCGCATTTATCCGCTCCACCACGGCCTCTCTGAGTGAACCTATTACTGCCCCTCCGTTTTTTGCATCGGACATGAAACTACATGGTGGATTCACCAAATTTGTTACCGATTTTATCAAATTTTATTCAATTATTCATTTATAACAAGTTCTGTGATGTACCAATAATGCAATGAAGCAAAAATACCTAAGCACTAGAACGGACTGTATCATATAAAAACTGTAACGACTAACGCTTATAAACTACGAAGACAAACAACAAGTTTTATTTTTATTTTTTTATTTTTTTTTATTAGTGCTCTCACTAATGAGTCAGCTTTTTTTTTTTTATTAGCGCTGACCCAGTGTTCTGGTTTTTTAAACACGCACACATAGCACAAGCACACATTTCAAATATTGGAGGTTGTGGTGTTCATTTATTAAAGATGAATGAAATCATCATCGTGAGATCATCATTAGATAAATGAGAGGAAATATCTGTCCTCGATTAAGCCTTTAAATAAATGTTCACCCCTGAGAACTAAGGCCGTGTAATGGCGGTGTAAGAATATCTACTAATCCATATCATCCCGTAGGTGTCGTAAGAGGCGACAGAGGGAAACAAATCAGGAAATGGGCAGCAGCCTCTTCCTAATAATGACCAAAAATAAAAATGAACTCTTGCCAAGCGTGGCGACTATAGAAAATATTCCCCTATGGAGAAATCTATGGGGGAGGCAAACGTTCAGACGTGGACTTTATAAGATTGTAACGTAGAACTAAAATAGAAAGCCGCCATATAGTAAAAAGGGTCTCAGCTTTCAGTCTAAGTAACTGTTATGGTTATTTGTGGGCCATACAAATACTTGTTCTTGGAAGTTGAACTTGTCTAGTCAGTGAATCTGTCCTAGGTAAACATTAATCCATTCATTCATTACAGCTTGTCTGTTCCTGTTGCTAAACGTAGATCTTCTCCTAAATTGCCTTATAGGGGTAGAAATTTGCCATAGCTACCACGCTTGCAATGCGGGTTACAAAAAGTAGATTATTTACTTTCTTTTTGTTATTAGCAAGACGCCGCTGCCCATCTCCTGGTTTGTTTCAGTTAGGTTAATATACTCGTTAACAACTATGAGCATAGATTACCAAATAATTTCCGGCATGTCCGTGTTCATCTCAAGACTTCTCTCTTTGGAGACACTATTGAGGATATGAGCATAGTGGGTACTTTATAGTAGAATATAAAGATGATTAATAGTAATATAATGTGGATTTTTTATTGAATTCGAATGAGTAACGAGCACACAGTTCACCTGATGGTAAGTGAATGCTGCGGCCCATAAACATTTACATTCACCCTCGATTAAGAATTAAAATGTAGATGCGTTGTCAACCTTGCGGACTAAAGTGGAATACCTCGTCTTCAGTAAAAAGGATCTCCGGTTCTCTCCACTCACCTACGAAACAAAGCATTAAACTGCTATTTTACGCTGGTATTCTTTGAGAGCATGGTCCTACCCCGATCGAGCTGACCCATTCGTGCTACAACCATAATATTGCTACAGCATGGCTCTACCACGATGAGTGACACACATAGTAAGTGATGAGAAGAAGTTAACGGGAATTGTTGTACAGTGAGTTGAAATTGCGAATATTATCTACCGACTTCAAAAAGGAGACGGTACTCTATTCGGCTGTATGTTTTTAAGGGTTGTTTATTTGAAAGCTGGTGCTTGACATGTGGTCCCATGTAAATTTTATCAAGGCCTGACAAATAGCTTTTGAGTTATTCTTAATAATTTATATTGAAGTCGGTTGTACAAAATTTTAAATTTTAAATTATGTATTACCAAAATGTACAGAATGCAAACATGATATGGGATTTAACTGATAAAAAAGTTGAAAGTTAAATTTACAGCGTATATAAGTCCCACAGCTGGGCACAGGCCTCCTCTCATTTCTGAGAGGATTTTTAGGTCAAGGAAGTGGCCGCCGTGCTGCTCCAATGTGTGTTGGAGAACTTCACATGTCTTAGAAATATTTTTTTTCTTATTTCTCAGACATGCAGGTTTCCTCACGATGTTTTCCTTCGCCGCCGAGTATGTGGTAAATCGTCACTTGAAATTGCAATTCACAATTTTATTTGTGCCGGCGGGGATCGAACTGAGAAACTTACAGCGAGTGCTAACCATCTGAGCTACCACGGCTCCCTGGGTTTGACAGATAAGTAAGACCTCTCCTCCTCTAAGATCCTCTAAATGTTGAAAAATGTATCCGCTAAAGACGAGATATAAGATAGACATTGAACTATTAGATTTGAAAAACAAAATAGGAAAACAAAATTTCTAAGTGGAGGTAACAGCTTTATCTTTAAGTTTGAGTTAGTTTATTTAATTTTGTAAGAGGTTTTGTAGTTAAAAGAGAAAAAAAAACATTATCTTTCATAAACATTTATTAATACAATATATCATTTCCATATTCCAATATCAGTAATATAATACCATATTCCTTATCAGGATTTTACAATACAAGAAGCTACGTACAGAAGAATCTACTAGGCTGCAATACCATATACCCCCTGTCCGAGAGTTGCATAGAATACATTAATGATTCATTTTATTAATTATAAGAATTATTTGTATGTTGACATTTATAGATACTTTAAAATTCTAAGTTGCCAATCGCAAATACAAGTGATGTTGTTTTATTCAAAGGCTTATTATAGCGTCTTTCACCAAGTTTTTTTTTTAAATCATTAGTCTCTTATATGACTAGAACATTTATTTTAGAGTTACATTATTTTTTTTTATTTTGTAGTGTCTGCTACTTCCTATTGACATAAGTTTACCATCAATTTTAGCTGCTACTTGTTTATGTCTCTACCTTTAGCTTACTTAACTCTACATACATACATTCCAGTAGAAGTTAATTGCTGCCTACAGAGCGTAGGGTTCTGTGGTTAAAAATAATTTGAAATAAAATACAAACACCAAGAACCCAATGCTATGGGCAGTTTACATGGTCTGATTGGCCAAGCATGACGTCGAGGCGTACTGATTGGGCAATAAGGCTGGGTGATTGCCCAACCATGTAAGCGGACACTCAGCTCAATCAGACAACAAAAATAAATTCACAAAGTGGCAAAATAAAAAAAAATCATGTCAACAATGCTTACGCCAGATAATAATTTTGTATAATAGGTCCAAAAATATATTTCAACTGAAAAGTATAGGTCCCTGTTTTTGATTTGAATCTAAAATTCAAACCTTAGATGATGTTAAGAGAAAGATGAGGGATAGCGATAGATATAAAAGAAGTTGAAGAACGCAACGGGTCCGATGTTGAAATGCACTGGTTGTCGCATCCGATGGAGCGGCGGTCAATTCGAACTGAATCTGGTCGCCGCTGCAGGGGAAGCAAGGAGGCATTCACCCCCACTTCTGAAATAGGCCCATGCGCTGGCAGCGGCAGTTGGACCCCCAAAGGTTGCATCTGCAGGAGGACGAGTGGCAGCAATCTCCGGGCCGGTGGTCGCAGTTCCCGCCACGACGGATACAGGCACGCCTGAAAACGTAGATCAGCGACGAACGTCTGAAACCACATCATCGAATACTAGCCTAAGTTTAAGTCCATGCTAGTGCTTCAATGATAAGAGTTCCTAAATACATAAAATCTATTTATCTCGCCTTGTTGTCTTTTTTATAGAACTGAAGCGAGAAACCACCTTACACTACATCTGTTCTTAAGTGACTACTGCAGCCTGTAATCATACTGGCTGTTATTACCTTCAGTTCGAAATACAACGGAGTAAGCACTGCTGTATTCCGCCAAAATAGGTAAGAGGTGGAAGGTGGTACCTACTCAGACGAAATCCTAGGCAGAAAGGACTCCTACAACCTATAGTATCATCATCATCATCAACATCATTTTAGCCTGTAAGAGTAGCTGTTAAGTGCGTGTAAATAAATAAATAAATCATTACAGCCCTTCACAAGTCCACTGCTGAACAAAAGCCTCCCCCAATGAGTGTATCTGTCGACTTATCCTATAGTATCAATTATGATTAAGTATTCCATTACAAAATATATAATTCTCGACAAGCGGAAAGCGTTTATCAAAATTAGCAAACTTAGCAGGTTGACGACCGTATTTCTAGCCATCTTTCACCATTGATGCTGTCCCCATAATCGATCTCAAGTTAAACAGCTATCTATAGGAGCATAAAAGACCTCCCCTGGAATTACCTAAAATTTCATTTTAACGATACCTACGGGAGGTCGTGGGGTGAAGGATTCTCTTATACTTCCTCAACAGTACAGAAGGACTATTTATCTATGTGTCATCTTCTAGTCCAAAAATGTGCACTCAGTGCCAATGTATAAATTTTATAATAAAGGTTGTTAGGCGCTTTATATAGTGGTAAAAATTTGCATAATTAATAATTACATTTAATGAAAAGTAATTACCGACTTTAAATAGCTAAATAATAATTTATTTATTTACTACACTTAGGGGTGGAATATTTTCTCCTAATTTATATGGGAACACCTAATGAATGATCTGATCATTAAAATCGGTTCTCAATCTGCGAAGATATCGCATAACATACATACAAGAAAAACATACACTCGAATTGAGAACCTCCTCCTTTTCGAAGTCGGTTAAAAATAAACTCACTTTCCAACATCCTGGAGCATTTGCAAATCGTTCGGGTCATCACCATAATCAGGCACGTTCAATTCAATGTCCTCATCACCTGGTAACATAAAACATCATAATTTAATATTAATTTTGTATCTAAAGAGTAAGGTGACAAGGTGGTTGTTGTAGGTTTTGGTAACTAAATAATTGGACTCGGACTTTTGGTCAAGACTCGAACTCAAAATCATTAATTTCAATTTAAATGTTGATTTACCAAGTTATCGACCTGAATCATCAACCTATAGAAACCTATTGTATACATCATAAATTAAAATAAAATTGTATTTGCTTAAGATAATGGAGTTAAGCTTGCTGCCGGTAACTCATCGTAAATGAGATTGACATGATTTACATGAATAGTGCTTTGAGCCGTCTTAGCTACTGGGTTTATCTAGTTTGAACCCCACGGGTGGCGTTAAAATTGTGTAAAAGGCTTATTTTCAAAACCCTCCCTGAAATGAGAGGCAGGTCAGTAGCATGCAGTGGCATCTGGCCGCTAAATTACTGTTGTTTTACTGGTATATGTTTTAGGAAAATTACACCAAAGCTGAACAAGCCAAAAATTTATTCATAAACATATTATTAACTGCAAAGTTATAAAAAAGGCAAAGTATAGGAACTATACGTCTCAATTCTTATTAACCTCTTAAAATGAGATATATTACAATATAGACGTTACAGCGTATTACGGATAAATGGATTGGGTCATCTCGATCTTGAAAGTACCGCGATCGCATATAATAGCTCATGAACTAGTAAAAAAGGGGCAGCGCTATTACACTCATGCCCCTTTTTACTGGTAATGAGGCATTTGAATCCTTCTTTCCCGTCGGTTCCTCGTGATATATAGCCCATTTCCACTTCAGCATACTGACCCGCTTGTCTATCATTAAAACATGCTACCTGGATCAATATACGAGGCATGCGCTGACTGCAATGCAAGCATAACAGCCGCGAGCGCCAGCAAAATTGCGCTAGCGCGCGGCATACTGATGTTACACCACCCGCTGTTAATCTGCAAACAATTTAAGCAACATTATTTCATGCAATATTAGCGGCCTCCCCCGGCATTGCATGAGTGATATCTGGAGCTCGATAACAATGCCATCTACCAGGTTTAACTATAATATATAGGTGACCCCATAACATAATTAAACACATAACCGATAAAATTTCATCAAAATCAGTCAAGCCGTTTATGAGGAGAAGAATTACAAACACACGCACACCGGAATATATATTTATTCGAATTTTTTTTTCTTTTCCAAATATTTTTTCTATGTGAAATAACGTTACTCTCTGGGAGCGGTATTGCGGAGGCTATTTACGGACATAAAACGCACATGGACAAACATCCAAGCCGGGAACAATTTGTAGGACACGCAAACAATTGTTTCATGCGAGATTTAAACCAGCGCAGCGGCCCTTATCGCCGTAATTCATTGCTTGGTTATTACGCCACCGAGTCGTCAATATACTGTAAGTTAAGGTTATTTTCTGTTTATCCGTCCCATGAGATCATGGGGCTGTCTAGGTTTGTACCACTTTCTTACTTATTCCAGCTAACATTTATTACATGACATTTATAATATAACTATTTGTAGACCATTAATTCATTCATTCATTTTAGCTTATTAAAAAATATTCCTGATGTAGACCTCTCCAAAGATTGCCTTAAGGGTGAATAATGCAATGGTTTCCAAGTTTAGCAGGCGGGTTAAAAACCGCAGTTTTATATTATTTTCAGATGTTACCACTGCAATATTGTAACGTGCGGGAATCAAACCCGCGGCTAGCGACGCCGAAGCCAATGCTATATTACTCCAGTGCCGAACCGAAATATATAAATTATACTTGTTATATTATGGTTTTAACACGAATGGGTCAACTCGACCGGTGAAGGACCACGTCCTCACAGAGTACCAGCGTGAAATAGCTGCTTAATGCTGCTGAGTCTCGTATGGTGAGTGTTGTGAACCGGAAACCGTTTCAACTGGAAAAGAGGCATTCTATTTCAATCTTCATATTAAATAAGCATTACTTTAAATCGTTTAGAAATAACAATTTAAATAAAAAAGAGTAAAATGGTAAATGGATACAGTTGATAACTAAATTATTATATCTAAATATGAAATAACTTTCAAGCCCTAACTTCCAAAGCTATTAGCATAAAGATTTAAAATAGAAATAGTTTTAATGTAGTATAATAATTATTATTTTGAAAAAAACATCAACATCATCATCATTTCACAAGTAAAAAAGAAGAAATATATGGGCAATAGGATCCCCCTTAAAAATTTTGCTATAGCCAAAATTTTATTAATACGAACAGATATATCAATATATAATGTATATAAGTAATTGAAAAAATAATAAATCAAGAATGAACTTTACTATCATAACATCAAAATATATATTTTTTTATTAGACAACGATACTGATCTAAATAATATTTCATAGAAATACTAACTCGTTTTAAATTATTTTGTAAAATTATTTATCATGTTATCATCGTCATCTTAATTATCAGCAACGTTTTCATCATCAAAATTATTATCATTGCCTGTTTTTTTGCAGCAAACTGACCTTTCCATTGGTAATCATGCTCCCCGTTATTAAATTTCAACTTTAACTTTTTTTAATGGGTTTCCCACAATGAATTGGTTACCGAGTGATCCATATAAGGTTGGCAATGAAAGAAAAGCTTGGCATAACGAAACTAAAAAGCAAGTAAATCACTTCTATATTTAAATACATTTTATCTTTAAATTAATATGCTCACATTCAATCAAATGCGTTAAAGAGCTCAACGTATGTCGGTTTGTGAAGAATAGCAATAGTATAGAAAATTCTTTACTGTGAATTGTTTGAAAAATCGTTTTGTTTGACTACAAAGAACGTCAATAACTGATGAATGGAATTACATCGTACGTACTCGTATTCCCTGACAGATGGGAAATAGGGATTGAAAATAGAATTGATAAGCGTAACTACTGCTCTGGCTTCCTATAATGGTTGAACAATTCTAGAATTTCAATAAAAACGAATCTACAATGACATTTCACATCCACTGGAACTTTTAGATTTGTGATTTATATAAAATGAAGTTTGGAAAAAATCGGGCATAAGAAAAAAAAATTAATAATTTTTTTTTTGCATCTATAGCTTTATTATAAATTATTATCAATGTTTTGAGTGTTTTGCAGTATTCATGATCATGGATGGACTAAAATATTAGGTCTTTATCTATGAAGTAGCCTTTTTTAAGAAATAAATGAACGTAGTTTGTTTTCTATATTTTTATTTCTATTATTCAAAGTAATCACTCATGCAATCAATACATCTTTTCCAATACAGTGGCAGCTTATTAATTCCCTTCTTGAAGAACTTAGCTAGACGGGAGGTTACAAATTCTTCAAAAGAATTTTGTACTGCCTCTCACGTATTTAATTTTTTACCGCCAAAAAAGTTATCTAAATTGTGGAAAAAGTTGAAGTCTATAGGTGCAAGGTCTGATAAGTACAGCGGGTAACGGAGAGCTTCCAACCCCAGCTCTTGTAACTAGGAGATCATCTGTTTTGCAGTATTAGGTCGCGCGTTGTCGTGCAGTAGCAGTGGGGACTAGAGATTGACCAAAGCTAGTTGGAGACGTGCGAGCTTCTCTATTTTTGTGTTCAGTTCTTCACAGCACACATCTGCAGTAATGCTCATCCCGTCTGGTAAGAAGCTGTGATGAGCACTAGACCACTAAACCGTGACCGTCACTTTTCCAGGGGTAATTATTCGTTTAGAGCATTGTTTAGTTGCTGAACCAAGATCCAATCAAATTGTTGCGATTACGATTGTTAAACACAATCTTTTTTGTTGCAGGTAACGAAACGGTTCAAATCCCTTCGTTTGTGGGCCTGTTAAGCAGTGCAAGGCACGTATCGACGCTTATATTGCAATGGAGATTATTGAGTTCGTGGGGCACCCATTTGTCAAGCTTTTTGAACTTGCAAATTTTAAGCAAATGGGTTAATATTGTTTCGATATTAATGCCGAAAGCTGCTGCTAATTCAACCAAAGATTGAGTATCATCAGCTTCCACAATCGCCTTTAATTCGTCATTGTCAACCAAAATAAATTTTCGGACGACCACGGGGTTCGTTTTTCAAGCCAACAACAGTTGATGCGTTCGTTTGTAGTATTCATTCCGTAAACGTCATTGATGTTGCGTGCCACTTGTGCAGCATTACTGCCACGACGGTAGTCATATTCCATAATTACTCGAATTTTTAACGTATCCATGATAACTAAAAAGTATCAAATGCGATAAAAACATGACGTTAATCAATAAACAAATTACTAATTTTGAAGAAAGAATACCATGTTTTTGTAATAAATTAATATGAAATTAGAATTCTTAGCCAAACAAAAATTATTTTGACTTGAAATAACCAGTACTGCAATACGGCAATTTCATAGGTAAAGATCTATTATTTAATGATATAGTGACTTGGACTGATTTCTGATTTTGATTATTAATTTTGGTGTGCTCAGCCCAGGCCATTATATCGTAAATTAATGCAATTACAGGGTTCAAAGGAGATGGAAACTCGAAGTCACCTTCTCTATTGACAAAAGGGAAAACGGCTTGCTTTTATATGTACATATCATCATCATCATCATCATTACAGCCCTTCACAAGTCCACTGCTGAGCATAGGCCTCCCCCAAAGAATGCCACAAAGCACGGTCCTGAGCCACCTGCATCCATCGACTTCCTGCATATCTTACTATGTCGTCACTCCATCTAGTGGGGGGACGCCCTACACTTCGCCTGCCGGTACGAGGCTGCCACTCGAGAACCTTTCTTCCCCATCGGTTGTCGGTTCTTCGAGCTATATGGCCGGCCCATTGCCACTTCAGCTTACTAATCCGTTGGGCTATGTCGGTCACTGTGATTCTACTGCGGATATCCTCATTTTTGAGTTTATCACGCAGAGAAACTCCGAGCATAGCCCTCTCCATAGCTCGCTGAGCGACCTTGAGCTTCCTCATCCGGCCAGCAGTGAAGGACCACGTCTCAGTTCCGTATGTCATCACTGGCAACACGCACTGGGTGTACAGTCTCGTTTTCAAGTTTTGAGGTATACCTGACGAGAAGATGTGCCGTAATTTCCCGAACGCTGCCCAGCCGAGTTGAATCCGTCGATTGACCTCTCGGTCGAAGTTGGACTTACCTAGTCGGACTATTTGTCCCAGGTAAACATACTCGTCAACAACTTCGAGCTTAGTGTTCCCAACAACTACCGGCATAGGTGTGACATGGACATTAAACATGATCTTTGTTTTGTCCATGTTCATCTTAAGACCTATCCGTTGGGAAACACTATTGAGGTCATTGAGCATAGTGCTTAGGTCCTCCAGCAATTCTGCCATAAGGACTATATCGTCGGCAAATCGAAGGTGAGTGATGTACTTGCCATTGATGTTGATACCGTATCCTTTCCAGTCCAGAAGCTTGAAAACATCTTCCAATGCAGCGGTAAAGAGTTTCGGGGATATGACGTCACCCTGTCTTACACCTCTCTGTAATTGGATAGGTTTCGTACTCTGATTCTGTACTCGGATAGCTATCGTAGCCCTACTGTACAAGCACTTCAACACTTCGATATACCGACAGTCAACTTGGCATCGCTGAAGGGACTGCAGCACCGCCCAAATTTCGACGGAATCAAAGGCTTTCTCATAGTCCACATACGCCAGACATAGTGGCAAATTGTACTCCTCTGACTTCTGTACAATTTGCCGAAGGGTATGTATGTGGTCTATGGTGCTAAAGCCTTTTCGGAAACCGGCTTGTTCGGAAGGCTGGAAGTCGTCAAGTCTGCGCGCGAGACGATTCGTAATGACTCTCGAAAACAGCACGTAGACGCGGCTCAGAAGGGAAATTGGTCTGTAGTTCTTCAAGAGAGCGTTGTCGCCTTTCTTGAAGAACAAGACCACCGCACTTCTTCTCCACGCCTCCGGTGTAATGCCACCATGGAGGACGGAATTAAAGAGCTTCTGAAGGACTTCAAGTACCGGTTTTCCACCTGCTTTCAGAAGCTCCGCTGTAATTCCATCCTGGCCTGGGGCCTTGCCGTTTTTAAGGTGCTGGAGAGCCATTCTAAACTCGCTCAGACTGACGTCCAGGATATCATCGAAATAATGTCGGATAAGACTCGCTCTTGGATCGTTACTCACACTTGCGTGTGGCTCCAACGATGACGTGTACAGCTGCCCATAGAACCTCTCAATCTCACTCAAAATCTCAGGTGCCCCGGAAACGATGCTGCCACATTCGGTCTTCAGCTTTGACAGTTGGCTTTTTCTGGCAGACAGATCTCTGGCAAAGACTTTGGAGCCTTGGTTCCGCTCGATCGCTTCTTCAATACGAGCTGTATTGAAGTTGCGTAAGTCCCGCCGCATGCATTTGGAGATTTATCTGTTCAGTTGCCTGTATGCTGTCAAATCTGTTGAAGAATGTAGCTTCATCTCCCGTCTAACAGCCATGAGATTAAGAGTGTGATCGGAGAGTTTTTGTGTTCCTCTGCGGCGGGTCTTGCAGAACTTAGCTCCGACCGCATGGACAGTTTCCACGAGCTTGTCATTCATATCGTCCACTTCATTGCAGTCTTCTAGGCACTGAAAACGGTTTTGTAACTCGAGCTGAAAGGTTTCGGGACTTTGGATTAGAGCACGAGGGGGACGGAGCATTGATTTCATTAGACGAGACCTCTCCAACTTAACGTTTAAGTTCAGTGGGCCTCTAACCATTCGGTGATCGCTGCCGGTTTTCACCCTCGCGATCACTGAGACATCACTGAACAGTTGTCGTCTGGTCGTCATAATGAAGTCAATCTCATTTTTTGTCGAACCGTCGGGGCTCGACCAGGTCCACTTCCTGTGGGGCCGCTTCTGGAAGAAAGAGTTCATCATAAAGAGTCCCTCTTTTTCCATGAAGTCGGCCAACTGCTGGCCCCTTGGGTTCCGTTGCCCTATTCCAAATTTCCCCACTTTCAGCTCACCGTTCTCTCTTGTGCCTAGTTTTGCATTGAAGTCTCCCATTAACACCGTATATTGGGTTTTGGAGGAATGCATGGCTCTAGAGATATCCTCATACATTTCCTCCACCTCCTGATCGGGGTGTGCCGAGGTTGGTGCGTAAACCTGTATGACCTTCAGCGAATACCGTTTGGTGATTCTGAGTATAAGGTACGCAACCCTCGTCGACACACTCTCAATCTTTACAACGTTGTTAACGAGAGACTTGTGGACGATAAATCCGACACCTCCTTGGGACAGATGGTCGCCCTCCTGGTAATAGAGCAAGTTGCCGGATTCGAGGATTACCGTGTCCTCCCCCTCTCTTCGGACTTCGGATAATCCTATAATATGCCAGCGTAACTTGTCTATCTCTTCTTCCAGCTCCACAATCTTCTCGTCAGTCCTCAGGGTGCGTGCGTTGTATGTTGCCAGGTCGAGTCGTTGTAGGTGGCAACCGAACCTCCACCGGAGATTCTTAGCACCCCCTGCCCCGCCGTTACCATGGTCGCCACCGTAGCCAGGAATAGCGGG